AAATTTAGTTAGTTTATAGCATAGCAATTAGTTAGCTGTAGCAAATTAATTTTGTATAAATAGAATAGCTTTTTGCTTATGTTATAAATTAACTTATTTGCAAGTTTTAAACTCTATTGCGAGTTTCAGTTTTATTATAAGTTCAAGTAATAAATAAAGGAATCAACTTAAAAAAAATAATTACTTTTTCCTTCTATGTATTCATCATTTAGGATTTGATCATGAACCACTATACTAACTTGTGATTGAGTTCATCACTTAGAATAAATAAATTCTCTAAATTTCCTAAGTTCCTAAACCCTTAAGTTCGTAAATCAAGTAAAGTAATTCCAAGGAATTTTAGATACCTGTAGGACGAGAGATTCCCTAAGGTTGTAAAATCTGACATTAAGAAAGTTACTTATCACAGCAAAAGAACTTAGACAAATTACGTAAAGTAATAAGAGAAGATTATTCCCAGTGACAACACTCTTACTCAGCCTCAAGTATATAAAGATCATATATTATTTTTTCTTTAAATATACACTTTCTCTAAGTACATATTTTCTCAAATTTTTATTATAATCCTGAGGAGATGCATTTAGAGAGAGTTGAATGTATAATCAAATTATTGTAATGGGTTCTGTAAATTTTTTGACTAAAATTTAATCTTATTGAATTTTAATCTAATATCAATATCATTAAAATTAAAATACAATAAAAATTAAAATTTTATTAAAAAATTCTTAAATTTTTATTTTCTAGCAAACTTTTCATATGCTGAATTGGCTAAATGTTTATTGAAAAATCTTAGTATTGAAATAATACTAAATTATGTGTAGTTTTATCAATTTTTATAACTCAAGCTAAATTTTAGCTGAATTATATGACCAAATCAGCCAAATATTTATTGAAAAGAATTAGTGCTGAAAGAAATAATTTCAACTAATAATATATTTTTAATTATTATTATAATTATTATAATAACATTTGAAGTTAAATAGAATATAAATCTCAATAAGGTTATTTTATTTAATATTATAAAATAACGATCAGAATTAAATAAAATTATTCAGTTAATTTAACCAATCACAAAGAAAACTCTTTATATTACTTACATATTTTAATAAAAATTAAAAATTAAAAATTTTTAATAAAGAGCTTTGCTTTAAAAATATTACATTCTTTTATTATTTTATTTGAAAATTCAAGTTGAGCCAAACTGACTTTATTGCAAATATCTATAAAGTGAACATAAAATTATATATATATGAATAAATTTATAATAAAGGTAATAATTATAATAATGGTTCTAATAAATATAAAAAGACTTTTTTTTTTTTTTTTTTTTAAGAAAAGAATGTAATTGTAGTTGCTCTTCAAGAATTTCCAAAGAACAATTTGTAGAATAAAGAGAACCTTGTTAAGCATAAAGCAAAACATATTAAAAACAGTATGGGAAAAGATTGATATTGATTTAATTGTAAAGATCACTAAAACTGATAGTAATGATAATCTTTTTACGAAGTTTAAATGATCTGTATCATGATTTAGAATACTATTTTATATGAAAACAAATTCTATCAGAGATATATTCATAATTTTTTGTTATATGGGAGGTTTGCTAGGAAAATGGGGCTCTGAGCATTTTTTATTAAAATTTTAATTTTCTTTGCATTTTAGTTTTTGATAATGTTGGATTAAAATGCAATAAAAATTAAAATTTTAATAAAAAATGCTCAGAGCCCCATTTTCCTAGCAAACCTCCCATATTATAAAATCTAATATTAGATATATAGATATAGATATTATATGCCGTTAAAAATTTATTTAATTACACTGAACTTAGTCAGTTCTTTGTATCAATTTTGGGTTAAATGATATAAATACAGTTGTTGATCAACTTATAAAAAACATGGAAAGATATCTTTGATATGTTTTTTTTCTATTAAGAAAACCATTTCTTGTTCTTTACGTGTGATTCAAAACATATTAAAGAATCATGAATAAATTAGAAAAAGGAAACTAAATAATTAAACTAAATATCATTCAAATTTTGATAGGAGAAAAATTAAAATTTAGCTAATCTATACTGAAATAATCTATCTGTTTTATTTAAAAAAAAAAAAAAAAAAAATGAAATCAAAGAATCACGATCTATTGTGACAATTTCGACTAATGGTAAAAGCAAATGGTGAAAAATATAAATTATCCGAAATATTCTGGCAGTACGTATTTTAATTTCTTTACTTGCTCAGCTTTCCTTGCTTCCCTAGTTGTAACAAAAGAGTAACTCGCATGTCCTTTAATAGATTCAAATTTCCCATCTTTTAACGCTTGTTCTAAATCCGGCAAAATTGCCTCCAATAACCTTTTAGCTTGCGCCGAATTTTGTGACATAACTTTCATAACAGCTTCAACAGTAACGGCTTCCTCGCCTTGTCTCCAACAATCATAATCAGTCGACATGCAAACCATTTGATAAGCGATTTCTAGTTCTTTAGCTAACTTAGCTTCTGGTATGGCAGACATATTAACTACGTCACAATCCCAACTACGATACAACTTTGATTCAGCTCTAGTGCTAAAAGCTGGACCTTCTATACACACCAACGTTTTCTCTTGATGTAATGTACTTCCTTCTTTTTCTAAAACAGATTTATGTCTATAAATTAAATCTGACAATGTTTGATTAAACGGATCAGCAAATGATACATGTGCTGCTAAACCATTTTCAAAAAATGTTGAATGACGAATCCCTTTAGTACGATCTATAATTTGATCTGGTAAAACGAAATCTTTTGGTTTGATTTCTTCGCGTAATGAGCCTACAGCTGAAAATGCTATAATAACTTCTACGCCAATATGTTTAAATGCTGCTATATTGGCTCTCGATGGAATTTCGGAAGGATTATATATGTGTCCGTTACCATGTCTGGCTAAAAATGCAATTTTGAACCCGCGTGGATCTTCAGCTATTATGATTTCACCACTAGGATAACCCCAAGGCTAATAATGTAAAGAGAAATATTTTTTAAAAAGAATTGAAAAAAAATAAGAAACTTGTAAATAAATACTTAACTGTTTCAGGAAAAGACCTTTGAATTACTTTCAAATTATCAAATGCATAAAGTCCACTACCACCGATAACACCAATTTTTATACCATTATCACCTGCCATTTTTTTTTTTTTTGTGTTGTTTGCAAAAGATTAAAAAAAAAAAAAAAAAAAAACCACACGTATTGTTCCTTGTATGACATATTTGATGATGTGTAACTTCCTGAAAATCGTTAATCCGCTAACACAAATAAATACACAATTGTTGAACTCATATACGCAGTTTTTTTACAATGATTAAATTTATAAATTTATTTTCGGAATTTCCTGTTATAGGCTTACATTTAAAGATGTGATCATTTAAGGTTACATCTTAATGGCTTTTTGCTAATTTCTACAAATTTTTGTTTATTGTAGTTCAATTTAATGTTGTAAATATTGTATTAATTAATAATATTCATTCTTTTTATTTTTATTCCTTTTTTTGTAAATTTGTAAATTTGTATAAATATATAAATTTCAAAACGCAACGTAAATTTAATTAAAAAAAATTCATTATTGTATAATTGTTTTGTATTTTTATATTTAACAAATTATAAAATTTTCTCATTTGTGTACAATATACTTCATTTTTAAACGAAAGCATGACATCTACTCAGACTGTTTATAATAATGGTGATCCCTTAAAGCCATTTGCTCCTCAAAATGAAACTCAAGAGGAAAGACGTAAACGTATATTGGTAGAAAAAGAAGCAAGGAAGAAAAGTGAAGCTATTGACAAACAAATTAAGGCTGAAAAGGAAAAATTAGAAAAACAAAAAGTAGCAAAATTATTACTGTTAGGTGATAAATTAGCATTTGGTACAATTATTTTTTTAAATGAATAATTATATTAACAATTTCATTAATTATCTAATAAAAGGTTCATCGGAAAGTGGTAAAACGACTGTGCTTAAACAACTGAAAATTATTCACGGAAAAGGTCTAGAAGATGAACGCAACCAATATCGAAGAATTGTTTTCCTTAACGTTCTTACTGCAATGAAGGCTTTGACCGGTGCTATTGCAAATCTTGGTTATGCATTAGATCCTGGCAATTTAGTTCATCTTCAAAAATTTAATAAATTAAATTCAGTGAAAGATTCGTTAAACCGCAATTCAATTAGCGTTCAAGCGGCAATTCAAGATGCTAGATTGGACGATGATGCATTCCAATTATTCACAGAACACGCTGAAGGGATTATAGAATTATGGAAAGATCCAGCCATTCGAAATGCTTACAAACACGCTAGCGAAATTGGGTTACAGGATTCGGCGAAATAGTAAGTCAGTTTCTTTTTCTTTTTCTTTTCTTTGCTAATTCTACATAATAATAATAAAAAAAATTCTTTTTTATTATTATTATAGCTTTTTAAAAAATGTTGCACGTTTTTCTCAAAAGGATTACTTACCTACCGATGAAGATATCTTACAAGCTCGAGTTCGAACCGTCGGTGTGAGTGAACACAAATTCGAAATAGACGGGATTACATACAAGTAAGTTTTTTTGGTAAATTTAATTTTATTCAAGTCGATAATACTGATTGCTTTTTCGTTCTTTAGGATTTTTGATGTTGGCGGTCATCGTTCTCAGCGGCATTTTTGGGCGTAAGTTTTTATATAATCCTCTATTGTTTTTTTTTAATCAATATCATCTTTTTCTTTATAATTAATATTGTCGTAATTGATCTTTAGTCCTTATTTCGATGATGTAAATGCCATAATTTTTATGGCTGCCATCTCGGCATTTGACCAACCTCTAGAGGAAGATCCGAATGTTAATCGTATGGTTGATGCAATTCATCTGTTCGAAAGCATATGTAACCATAAATTATTTATAAATACTAGTATAATCTTGTTTCTTAACAAGATTGATATTCTAAAGCATAAGCTTACTTTGGTTGACGTAAAAGATTATTTCCCCGATTTTAAAGGTAACAAAATTTATTTATCTTCATTCGTTTTTGAATGAAAGTCGTTAACGCATATTATATTTTCTAGGCGAAAACAAGTTCTCAAGCGTAACAAGATTCTTCCAAAAAAAATTTGGGAATTGCAATCAAACTAAAGATAAGCGCATTTATGTCCACTTTACTCACGCCACAGTAAATATATTATTTATTTCGTTTATTATTTATATTAAAACATTCGAAATTCATTATTTTTCTTTTTCGCAAATTATAGGATACAAAACAAATGCGTGTCATCGTTGCTATAGTGAACGATATAGTCCAGAGAGTAAATCTCAAAGATGCAGGTCTCATTTAAATTGACAGTAAATACTAAAACCAAGTATCAAGGTTTTTCCTCCGAGTTTATGGATTGATTGTTTTAAGGGATTAGTGATTATACATAATTGGGTTGTTTATACATTCATTCTTTATTAACTTGTAGTTCGTAAAAAACAAATATTTTTTCTATTTTGAATTAACAATATAATTTAAAAAAGCATTTATTTTTTTTTTATCATTACATTAGAAATCGGGAATTTTATTTGTAATATATAAATATTTTTTATAGTTTATTAAATAATAATAATAAAAAGCAAAAAAAAAAAAAGTTTTCTAATTCAAACTTAACTTTTTTTTCATAATATATTGCAGTATATCTTCAAAATTGCATTCCTCTTGTATCTTATTATCCAAATCCTTTATTGTCACTTCACCCTTTGACATTTCATTTTCACCGACAAGTATCACATGTGAAGCATTTGACTTTGCAACATTACTCAAGGTAATTTTCAATGATGATTGACGTGAACTTGAAGGGGGGTGATAAAATAATGTTGAAATATCTTGATCACGTAAAGATTTTGAAAGGTTAAGTCCATGATAATATAATTTATTATTTTTCAAGGGAATTATCGAGTCAAGATCTGTTGAGCCATTTTCAGAAGATGGTGCATTTTCACGATTGGGTATTACAACAATAGCGATTGGTCTTTCTCGTGTTGATAATATATTTTCATCTAATATCATTGCTAATCTATCAATTCCTGCAGCCCAGCTACAAGTTTTTTTTAAATAAATAAATAATAAAATATATTGAAACTCATATCGAAAAATTATAATAATAAAAACTTTAAATTCATACCCAATTCCAGGAATTTTGTCTTTTCCGCCCATCATTTGAACAAGACCATCATATCTACCACCAGCCAATATGGTTCCTTGAGTGACTCCAAGGTTAGAGTCCATACATTTGAATTCAAATATTGTACTATCATAATAATCTAATCCTCTAACCAGATGGGGATTAATTTTATATGGTATACCTAAGCTTTGGAGTCCTTGACAAACGACGTCAAATCTTTTAGCAGATGTAGAATTATAATATTCTGTGATTTTTGGACAATTTTGAATAATTGGAACATCTTTTGGATTTTTTGAATCTAAAACGCGTAAAGGATTTGTTGAAATCCTTTTTATTGTAGAAATTCATATACGATTAACATTTTTAAAAATACAACAGTTAGAAATTTGAGGATTAAATTGTTACCTCTTTACGCTATCCTCTGAAAGGTGATGTTCATATTTACGTAAATAATCTCTTACAGCTTCACGATAACGCGTCCGAGATTCATTATCGGCCAGGGAATTAATCTCAATCTAATACAAAAAAAAAATAATTGGATTAAAATGATTCTTAACAAAATAAATTTTTACTATACGAATTAATAACTCTGAGATGCTTACTTCAAAAAACCCACCAAGTCCGATTTTATTTAAGAATGTCCAAGCCATATTAATTACTTCAATATCAGAAGTTGGGTGTTCATGACCAAATAATTCAACACCAAATTGTTCAAACTAACATAATAATAAGCCTGTTTAGGAAAATTTTAATTTTCATGTCAATTTCGAATTCAAACCAAAAAGATTTCTTTAAATTATTACCTGCCTTAACCTCCCTTTTTGTGGTCTTTCATGACGAAACATGGGACCATAATAATAAAATTTTTGTGGGAGGTCGTAAAGTAGATTATTACTAATTAATGCTCTAACGATACCTATTCAAAAGTCAATAGAAATTAGTCACATCTTTACGACTTTCGGAAAATTCGTAGGGAACTTTATCATCAATCATCACACACTTGCCAGCGGTTCCTTCTGGTCTCAAAGTTAATTTGTTATCTCCATTATCGATAAAACTATATAATTCCTTTCCGACTATATCAGAATCATCACCTAAAGTTCGCTCAAAAACCTGAGATAATTCTAATATTGGAGTGGAAACCTAATTGTTGATAAAAACAAAGAATTTAATCGATGGTTTAAAAGTTCAAAAGATATATATCAGATCAAAGATTACGTGATTATAGCAATGTAGTTCTGCAATGGAAGATGCAACTTTCAAGATATGATCATATTTTGCATTTTCGGTTCCAAAACGGTCGCGCGTTCCTCTAACAGGACGCGCTGGTTCTAAAGAACGAGTTATTAAGTAATGAGAAATTAATTTATCATTAAATATGGAATTCTCTCGATTTTACCTGTTGATAATGATCTTCCGGAATGCAATATAAAATTATTCTGTAAGCGTTGCCATAAATTACTGTGTGACAGATAAACGAGTCTTGGAGAATAAGATATAAGTGGAGACATAATGTTTATTAAATTAGGAAATGCTTTCGGAAACCGTTGTTAAGTCCGGATCGGTCCGTCACGATAACAAAAACTTAGAAATAGATAATGATGCTATTCAAAGTTTCAGATTTGAAAAAAAAGTCATTTTAAAGGTTTCGAAAATCCATTGGAAGTTCCCGCTCAAAAATTGAGTCGATGCTGATCGTTACAAAAATTAATTATCTTAATTATTTCAAAAAATACGTAGCCCCATAAAAAAAACTTCACTTGGTTTTTTCTGCAACATTTTCAACGATTCATTAATAAAATTGTAGTTATAATTGGCTAATAATGAAAATTATATACAAATATCAAAATATATAATTAAGTTCTTTTACTGGATCAGCGAAAGTATCGGTAAATTTCGAACTTTAGCTATTCAACAATTGTGATATCAAACATGGCCATTCATTGGGTCGGTTGTGCGTTTATAGTACTTTATTAAATTAAATTAACTAATAAATAAGCTTCATCATAACGCTTGTTTAATTAAAATCTATAATTTCATTAATAAAGAAATAATTTTTTGTAATAAAAATTGATCTTAAAGATCCCATAGATCATTTTTATTTCACTCATGAAACAATAAGTTATGATTTTCTCAATTTAACAATTCCTAATTAGTCGACAATAAATTTCTTAATCAGATTAGATTGATCACCAAAGATGTCAAATGTAAAAATTCCTTTTATTTCCGTTGTTCCTCTCACTAAGCGTCCATATGATATATTCGAACATGAAAAATGAGAATGCAGGATAAAAAAAACGACAAAGCATTACATTGTTAAATGTCCGCTTTATTGATATAGAAAAGAAATTATATGATTTGGTAATGCATAGATTTGTTTTTACAAAGTGAAATGACGGACGTTTTTCGTCCCAGGATCCCGTTTCATTTGTCCCAAATAATCGATATTCTAAAAATGTGTAAAGTTCCAATTATGGAAACACGGCACAATTAGTCTAATGTATATCAAAAGGTATTTGAAAAAATTAAACTCTCGATTTTTGATATACTATCGAAATGTCTTTATTTTTTGTCGTTCTAGCTCACCCTCTTCCTTATCCGTCACAAATTATCATTGCCGAAGAATATATTATTAATGAAAAGGTTTCCGTTAAAAGAAAAGTTCTCAATACTATACATCTCAAGGAAATGATATGGAATACAGAAAAGAATTTTTTCGACTTGTGTGGCTTTAAGGACATGGAAGGTTGAAGATCTTTATGAAGATTCTGAGAAGTGGGAATTACTTAAAAAACTTGCAAAGGCATATACTGAAACTGATATAAAAAATTTCGGAGGTAAAAAGTTATTATCAACTAGTAAATTTTCAGTGAATTTTCGAGATGTTCCAAATACCTGCATTCACATAACCGTGCAACCACCCGTCACTGGTAAGTGTCTTTCACCTCTCAAACAAGGAATTTGCAGTTATCGTTCGTAATAAAATATCGAATATTCCAGATGATAAACCACCGACAAAGCGTCCTAGATTAATCAATGGTATGTTATGGTCAGTTTGAAGTGCTTATCTTTTGTGCTAATTCTAATCATGTCTCATTTTCCAGTTCTCCATGGGGAACAGGTTCTCGGTATTTCGCAAATGTCGTGGCACGAAAAATCAGAAGGTAAGCCTTTCCTCAAAAGTTTGTTAGTTAATTACTATTATTTGTTAACATTATATCATAAAATAAAAAGCGATCCAAAAAGCTTTAAAAGAACCTCCCAAGATAATTGACAATGGAAGTTATACTCTAGGCGAATCAGATTTTATCAAATTTATTACTTCAGGTACTTTTGTGGATATATCACTCTTTATAATGGAGTTTATGATCTATGGACAACGTGCCAATCTGATTACCCGCCCTCGTCAGTTCGGAAAAACGACTAATCTTTCGATGCTCCATACCTTCCTTTCATCGAGACCTCAAGATAGAGATGAGAGATTTTTATTGTTTACGAAGCTAAAAGTTTCTCGATTTGACTGGTTTATGAAGTTGAACTTCGGAAATTGGCCTGTAATTCACATTAGCTTCAAAGTAAGCAAAACTGATGCAACCTATTTTACGTAAATAACTAACAAGACTCCTTTTATTAGGATCTTATCAATAACTCCTGGCAATTAATGCATAGCTCATTAATGCGAAGAATTTCAGATCTATACACGGAACACCGATACATTCTCGATGATAAAGTTCTTGCAAAGAATGATGAAAAATTTTTTAAAAAGATACTCGCTGGAACAACAAGCGAGAACTACTTGTGTTCTACCCTTTCTTGCCTAGCACGTTTTCTTCATACTTACTTTCAAATGAAATCCATTATTCTAATCGACGAATACGATTGGCCTTTGGAAAATGCAGGGGGATTTTATGATTATTTTTAGAACAATATATTCGAGCATTGCTAAGGTAAGCATATAAAATGTCATTAACTGATTGCATATGTGCTTGCTAAACTACAAAATTTCTATGCAGGACAATAATCACGTGGAGAAGATCTTGTTTGTTGGGCTCCTCCCACTAGGACAAACGGAATCTACGTTGTTCAAAAAAAATATTGTAACGTTTTGTCCATCATTTTATATGGAGTTAGTATCTTGTTATGATATGCCAAAAGATGTAGATTATACGAAACATGGTATCATTCATTTATTCTCGGAGCACTTGCTATGTATCATGGAATGGAATACCAGGTTTTATCTAATCGCGAAACTGGGGAGATGTCCGAATTATTCCGATTGTCGAAAATAAAAATATTTGCATATTATTTGAATTTAAGCTTGCTAAGTCTGATGACCACAGTGTAATGGAAAAATGCGCTGGCGTGGGTTAGAACAAATCGTTGAAAAGAAATACCGGGCAAATCTTTCAACTCATATCAAGACAATAGTTGAGGTCGCGATTGCCTTCTATGAAAAAAATGTTTTTGTTTCTGCCCGTTGTCTAGAACGTAAAAAAGAGATTTCTAATGAATGATACCTGGGAAGTTGTTGCTGAATCGAAATCAGTTTAGGAGGCGACATTCCTTGAAATTAGTTTACACTATTAATTTTTATATAGCTTTTTGCAGATTGCGCACCTCATTATTTTTATTATTCATTTATTAGTCAATGAAAAATAATAAATGAAATCAGTTAAAGCTTTAAAGGTTCAGTATATTAAATCACGTTACCCATAAGAAATTTTGTGTTTTTGTAATAATGCTCGTGAATTGCGCAACCTGTTGAACTTTATTCCAGACCAAAAATCTGTATAATTTTAACAATTAGCAAATATTATTTCAAAGAATAAGCTAACGACAAAAAAATTAGGAATAGGGGACTTGGAATTTTTTGATGTGAAAATTCCTATTTGTCACCTTATTTGTCATTTAAGTTCTTTGAGGTGATAATGGGGTAAATAACTAATATCATCATGTATATGTGCATAACGGTAAAACTCCTAACAACAAAGCTGATTATATGTGGTAAATCAACCTTATATACCAGCCCTAATCCTACATCACAAGTAAACTAACCTAGTTGTAAAGAATCAAAGAAAAAGAGGAAAAAAAAAATTGTTTTACCTTAATATTTTTCCTTCAGTAATTTCAGAAAAATTATAATCGACAGAAATTTAATCCTGTAAAATTAAAAACCGAACTAAATTATTATGGTCGAAATTATGCACAGAAATAATTTAATCGATCTAAATCAATAAAAATTTCAATTTTAAAAATGGCAACTTACAACGAAATTAGAAAAGATAAGGAAAAGGCAGAAGCAAACTATGAAGAAGCGAAAGGAGAGTTAAATAATTGGAAGGAAAAGTGGGGAATGAGGCTAGAAAATTTGAAAAGG